GGTGGCGCTGGCGCCCGGATATTCCTAAAAACTGCATTTAGTTGCAGATTTGGCTCATATTTGGACCATTTGTTAGCCAATTGAAAAGGAATATTTGCACTAAAAAATTATACGATGGGAGACGGGATATTCCTAACGTTCTTATACAGTGGGAGAATGATGGATATCTACACATATACACACGCCATAATAAAATGTTGAAACCCCTTTTTTTAGGGCACCAAAATATCTCTTAAACCAACTACGCTGAGGAACTGAAACTTGGCACAGATGCATAAATTCTAAATACCCTACTTATGTCGAAAACTGGGAGCTATTGGAAAAGGGGGCGTGGCACGTCCCATACAAACTGATCATCTCTTATCCCTTATCTCTGGAACCGCTTACGCCAACGTCCTGAAATTTGACACAGCTACATAAGTTATCCGTACTTATGGCGAAAAGTGGCAGATATTGGAAAAGGGGTCGTGGCACCTCCTATACAAACTGAACTTTTCATAACGCTTGTCCCTGGAACTGCTTAAGCTAACGTCCTGAAATTTTATACAGCTACATACATATGTTATCAATAACGTACTAACTTACATGCTCTCTCCATTTGCATACAACCACCGCAGATCTGTCGGTTTCATCGCAAGTGAAATGCTCACCGCAGAGGAATTTTGCTACTTGGGCATGTCATCGCAGAAGATTTCATTTCAAAAAGTGCTTACGAAAACTACTGTATTCTCAAAAATGGTGGAGTAAGCCGTTGTTTTGAGCATATATACATATTACACCGTGCGACAGTAAATTTTACACACAAAAAAAAAGTATATTTCCGTGAAACTATGGGTAAATTATAGTAAAACTGCGTACTTAGTTTTTCTCTCTGACATGAGGATTTTTTTAAAAGGACTTTTATAAGAGGACTTTAAAAAATATGATTATTTAAAAAAAATATTTAAAAAGTCCGTGCAATGTAGGATAACAATAAAGGTATCATATATTAGAAAAAATTTGCACAATTGTTTGTTTTTTTTTTAAATTATTGTTTGAGGACTTATATACGCACGACCTCATCATCGAATTTCGTCTTGATTGTTTTAAATAATTTTTTAAATCAATCATATCTTTAAAATTTCAGAGTCCTCTGAAAAAAAGTCTCGACGTCAGAGTGAAAAACTAAAAATGCAGTTTTATTATATTTGGCCCATAGTTTCGTGAGTATATCGATTCTTTCGTGTGTTTTGAAATTTTTTGTTTTTGTTGCACGTTGTTATAGAAAAACACAACTTCATCAAAATTTTAAGGTAAAACAAGCTGCGAAACTAATGATTTAACATCATCCTTGCGATGAGCGGCCTACACAAGCTGTTTAAGCAACTTATGCATTTCCCGCATAAACAAAGAACAGCGAACAAACACACGCACTTGTATTGCACTCCCGTCCAAAACTAAGTGCAGCGAATAAACACACGCACTTGTGTGTAAAAATAATTCGCTCGTTCTTCATTGGGTATGCAATTTTTTATGCACTTCTCAACTGCTGCAGAACAAAACCTGCTAAAGTAGTTAATTGCTCGCACCCCAAATCATGCTCAACAATCTCGCTTGATGCATCACCACTCCTCCNTTTGGGTATGCATTTTTTTATGCACTTCTCAACTGCTGCAGAACAAAACCTGCTAAAGTAGTTNGTAAAAATAATTCGCTCGTTCTTCATTGGGTATGCAATTTTTTATGCACTTCTCAACTGCTGCAGAACAAAACCTGCTAAAGTAGTTAATTGCTCGCACCCCAAATCATGCTCAACAATCTCGCTTGATGCATCACCACTCCTCCGGAGTGGTTTTAAACAGCAAAAGCCAAAGCGCTACAAGCTGTTGGGGCTCTGTATGACTTTCAGCATACAGAGGTGGTACAAGAGCTACCATTGGCCACAGCGCTTACCCAATTTTTTAAACTTGAATCAATAACCAGTGCTCAACACTCCCGCTTGACGCACACCCCCAAAAACTCTTACAGAGTTTAAGCGGCAAAGCCACAGCGCTACAAGCCGCAGGGACTCTGCATGACTTACAACCATGCAGAGGTGGTAACTGATGGTTATCATTGGCTCCGACGCCTACCCAAAACATTTTTGCTTTAATAAATTTTTATGCAAATACATATCATCACACTCTCAAGTAGCACAAAAGTCAAAAATGCACCAAAATATTTTGTGTATTTTTTGCATCGGCGTGATATACATTTTCAATATAAAAAATATGCCATTTCTAGGCGCAGTTTTTGAACAGTTTATTTCGATTCAGTGTAAAGGTTACACCGCTGTTTCGTGTATTATTTACACCTACCGTAATTTTTTTTTACTGATTTTCGGTATATATATTATGCCAGTGGTATACAAGTTTTCTTGTTTCTAGAACATAAAATAAACTCCGTTGGTGTAAAATACGTACTCATAATTGGCTCAAATCATACACCATAATGGTAAATCATTTACATCATATTCTAGCATAAATATATTCCCATGAGTGTGAAGAGTACGAAATGATTCGAGGAATAAAATTTACTAATAATCAAATTTAAAATTAACTCAGACATAAAATTTACACCGAAGCTCTTTTTTAATCTGCACAACTTAGAATTATTTTTATAAATCTCAGTATGCATAATATGCAGACATGAAAATCGTGAATATATATGAATGTGAGTTCCTAATTTAAAAACGAGGTACATTCTGTCGAGTGAATTTCGGTCCTACCCCCTCTAAAAATCGAGCGCCTCAAAATTTATGAGGATTTGAAGATTTTAAATAAATCTGGAAAAAGTTATATTTTGAAAGTAGTGATTTTTTAACCATTTTTAATTTTCTAAGAGATGCGCTGTTTAAAACAGGGTCGAAAATATCCATAAAGTGGCATAGTTGAGCCAATGTACATAATGAAATTGTTAAATTAGCTAAATAGTAGTCATACAGCTTTAACCCTCTAGTAGGCCAATTTTTTTATGAGTTGAAAAATTCAGGAATGGGTGATTTTAGCACGAGAAATCCAAAACTGATGTCGATTTCGATATGTGACAGTAACTTTTTCCTACAGGGGAGTAAAACCAAGACCGTCTGGAGACGGGCTCACCGATATACTTACACATATTTTCAGCTTTCTCTTACACAATGTTGACCTACGAACCGGCAATGCCGTCTGCAGACGGTCAAAAATGCAAAACTGGGGTTTTATATGTCAGCAAGGCGGTCTGTAGACGGTCTGTGTTCGAAAGCAATTTTCTCCATTTCGAATGGTGACATAATTATAAAACTTATATCAAAATACGGTGCTTTTATCAACGAAATCCACCGAATTTTTTTATATCGAAAAATTTTTCAAAAGAAAAAATTTCTTTAATTACGAAATTACTAAATAGCAAGAAATAATTAATTTTCACCGTGTTTTCAAAATCTGTAATTCAACTGCCGATTAAAATAAAACGGATTGACATAACGGATTAAAATTTACTTCGCCGTAAGGGTACGATTTTTGCCTAAAGATCGTGCCTTACGAATATAGAAAAAAATTATTATAGGTGAACTAAAAAGGTGTTTAGTTAACGACCGTCTGGAGGCGGTTATGCCTACTAGAGGGTTAATATGGCGGCCAGCCGAGTTTCAGGATTAGGCTAAGTTTACAACCTAGCGTATTAGCGTAACGAGAATACATAAAAATCGCTACTAGCCATCATTTATGTACACAGTCGTTCGTGTTTATCGCTGTGAAAGCAAATGAAAAATATGCCTTTTGTAAAGTGAATAGCTTTCCTCATATTTAAAGCCATACATACAAAATAAGCTAATAGCTTAAATTTCTCGTCAAATAATACACGCCTAATTTTGATCGAGCGATATCCATCGCATCGCGTAACGCCATTACTCTAGGTTGTACTTTAAAAATATGGTCGTCGTCAAAAACTTACACTGATTCTTGAGTTAGGTACAAAATATTTACCAAGCCAAAAGAACGGTATATTTATTTTTCCTTAGAGTTAGAAATATTCACAATTTACACCATTCAATTGTTGCCACTGCAGTTATTTTTACGTTCCAAAAATCCTACCAAATCAGTTTCCAAACAACCAATTTTTGTATCATCCGAACATGATATTTTATTTCGTTTCATATTTGCTTTATGTAAAAATTTAATCTTTGCGGTTAATTCAATTTATATCAATTATCTTATGTCGGAAAAGAAAAAAGAAAATACAATAGCTGCATATAGCATTTAGTACACATTAGAGCTTTTCAACATCAGCAACTTTTTATAATCGCTAATCGAAAATTTTTTTTTTTTAATTTTTACAAACGAACACTACGCTACAACAGTACAATGCAATCCTACAAGTAACCAGTTCCGTGTCTGAACTCAGTCAATACAGAAGACCCCTAAACAATTTTGTCTACCGAAGGAAAATAAAACTACCAATTTGACCAAAATGGTAAGGCTGATGGCAACACTACTTGTGGAATGTTTAATAGCTCATATCAGTGTTGCCAAATATGGGCTTTTTTTACCAAAACTGGTAGGTTTTTTCTAGTTTTCTTTTTAGTAGGTTGGTAGGCTATATTGGATTTTGGTAGGTGAATGTCTATACGTAGTTAATTAGTTTTTATTTTACTAGCTGTATTTTGGTTTTTCTAAATGTTATGTTGGCATTAAAAATATATTGAAAACTTATATACAATTTTGGTAGGTTTTGGTTGAGTTTGGTAGGAAGTTTTGGTAGGAAACAAAATTTGTCCATGGCAACACTGGCTCATATTCAAACTGGTGGTGTATTAAGTACACACACACTAGCTTTGTTTCTTTACTTTTGTAGCAGATAAGTATCAGGAAGACGAACGGGAAAAATTACAAACAGCCTTATTATGTATCTCGAACGATAGGCCGCACGATAGGCGATATCGTCACGGATTGCAATTTTGTAACTCTGTCGTACGTCTTCGTCTTGTCTTTACGCCGATTACGTTGCAATCGTCTCGGTTACGTTGTATGATGTTGCCGGATGAAATTTTGATGTACTTCCAAAGAGTTTTTCTTAGATTTCTAATATTTTCAGCTTATTTCAATGCTTTTTATTTTAAATGGGCAACATCGGAATTGTTTACATTTTGGTTTTCCTTAAAAGTGTTTTGGTTGTGTTGCGGAAAGAAATATAAGGAAAATTGATTTTTAAAAATGTATGCTGCTATAGCGCTAATGGACGCCGAGGAATCCGAAGAAAGGGAAAGGCGGATACAGAGGAGGAGATTGCGAGACCACACCAATGTAATGGAACTACCTGAGACTGAGTAAGTTCAAGATTAGCAAATAATTTTTGTATGCTACAATGTATTCGTTTCTAGATTTGTTGCAAAAATCCGAATCAATAAAGAAATATTCCAATACATATTAAACGAATTAAAAGAGCACATGGCTCCATCACATAGAAGCACCCACCTATCGCACCAGCTAAAACTCGCGACTTTTTTAATATTTCTCGCCACCGGCAGTTACCAAAAATCTGTTGGTAACGAAAATATTTCGTCGATGGGGCAGTCAACTGCAGCCAACGTGATCAGGGAATGCCTAAATATTTTTGAGGGCCATTTTTGCCAGAAATGGGTGAATTTTAGGAGAAACATCGATGAGGAAAATGCAGTTAAAGAATATTTCTTTGAGAAATACGGAATACCTGGGGTTACTGGTTGTGTTGATGGAACACACGTTCGTATTAAGTCGCCAGGAAGTGACAACCACCATTTATACCTCAACCGCAAGGGTTTTTACAGTCTTAATGTAATGGCGGTAGGTTAATGATTTACTATCTTTACAAGTATACATACACACAAACTGAGTTTCCTTACAGATGAGTTTCCCTACAGACGCTAGGCATCCAGGGGCGAATCATGATTCATTTGTTTGGAATGTGAGTCACGCAGAACAGGAGCTAAAATCTGATTATAACAATGGAAAAACCAACACATGGCTACTCGGTAAGTTTTAAAACTTAAAAAGGCTATAAAACTATTACTGACAATGAAAATTTTTGTAGGTGATTCTGGTTACCCCTTGCAGCCATACTTGGTGACGCCATTCAGAAGCGCAGCCGATGAAATTCAACGAAATTACAACACAAAGCACTCGAAAGCTCGTAATGTAATTGAGAGATGTTTCGGTGTTTTGAAAAACCGATTTCGATGTATAATTGGCTCGAGAGGGCTACACTATTCACCAGAAAAAGTTACACAAATTGTAAATGTGTGCTGTGCTATTCATAACGTTTGTATATTTTTCAAACATCAAATTCCATTGGAGAGCCCAGATATGGGAAATCTTGTTAGTTACGAAGAAGAACTGGAAAACAGTAACATTTCGAATGCAGCTGCCCTTATTAGAATGAGAATAGTAGAGAGTTTGTTATAAACGCAGTTTTATTATAAAGTATGTGTGTTTAGAATTCATGTTCACCAGCAAAATTCATTTGTCTTAAAATTAATAAAATAT